AATTTAGTAGTTTATTCTAGTTTATTCTACTGTAATTCTATAGCAGTTATTTTAGTAGTTTATTCTACTGTAATTTAGCAGTTTATTCTAGTTTATTCTACTGTAATTCTATAGCAGTTATTTTAGTAGTTTATTCTAGTTTATTCTACTGTAATTCTATAGCAGTTATTTTAGTAGTTTATTTTAGTTTATTCATTTGGTCACCACTTCCAGCACTTGTGGTTGTAAATTTACTTGTTTTAATCGTTAAATATCCAGTTATATGTGATAGGTTTTTGTATTTTAACCGTTTGCAATGTTGTCTTGTGTCCTGTTATCTTGTCATACGTGCCGATTGCGTTGATGATTAAATATCAAATTACATATGATAGGTTTTGTATTTCAACCCTAATTACATGTGATAGGTTTTGTATTTTAATATAAATATGTATTTATGCGTTGATGATTAAATATCAAATTACATATGATAGGTTTTGTATTTCAACCCTAATTACATGTGATAGGTTTTGTATTTTAATATAAATATGTATATATATATATATATATATATATATATATATATATATATATATATATATATATATATGCTGCCAGGGAAAGGGTATTTTAAAAATATGGAAAATGCTGTGCTCATTAAAGAGAGAGAGAGAGAGAGAAAGAGAGGGAGGAGGAAAGAAAGAGAGAGAGAGAGTGAAGGAGAGAGAGAGAGAGAGAGAGAGAGAGAGAGAGAGAGAGAGAGAGAGAGAGAGGGAGGGAGGGAGAGAGAGAGAGAGAGTGAAGGAGAAAGAGAGAGAGAGAGAGAGAGAGAGAGAGAGAGATAGAGAGAGAGGAAAAAAGAAAGAAAAAACGAGAGAGTGAAGGAGAAAGAGAGAGACAGAGAGAGAGAAAGAGATCAAAATGTCTCTGCATATAGATGGCTCTGCTAGTACTTAGCCACAAAGGAGTCAATTAGTCGCCCTTGTAACCTTAACTGATTTCACCTTTCCTTGAATTGGTTGGGAAAAACGTATTTTTTACTAGTGCAATATTTATTTATTATAAACATTATAATTATTATAATGTTACAAACATTAGTAACAGGAAAATAAGATAACGTAAAATATTTTCATAAATCAAAGAAAAGGGTAAACGGGCGAGACACAGTACTCGTAATTTTTTTTTATATCAACCATTAGAAATATTGTCATGAACTCTGTTATCTTAAATATCTAATTATAGATGAGGATTTTTTAAAATTTATTTTAACCATAAGCAATGTTGTCCTGCAATCGTAAGGCAAATATATTAATCACTGAGTATCTTATTATATAAGACAATTTTTTTTGTATTTTAACTATTAGTAATGTTGTCATGCACCTTGTTATCCTTTTTTTCTTTCTCTCCTTTTCTGTTTTCTCTCTCTCTCTCCTTTTCTGTTTTTTTTCTCTCTCCTTTTCTCTTTCACTTTCCCTCTCTCTCTCTCCTTTTCTGTTTTTTTTTTTTCTCTCCTTTTCTCTTTCGCTCTCTCTCTCTCTCTCTTTCTCTCTTCTGTTTTCTCTCTCTCTCTCTCTCTCTCTCTCTCTCTCCTTTTCTCTTTCACTCTTTCTCTCTCTCTCTTTCTCTCCTTTTCTCTTTCACTCTCTCTCTCTCTCTCTCTCTCTCTCTCTCTCTCTCTCCTTTTCTCTTTCACTCTCTCTCTTCTGTTTTCTCTCTTTCTCTCTTCTGTTTTCTCTCTCTCTCTCTCTCTCCTTTTCTCTTTCACTCTCTCTCTCTTTCTCTCTTCTGTTTTCTCTCTCTCTCTCTCTCTCTCTCCTTTTCTCTTTCACTCTCTCTCTCTCTCTCTCTCTCTCTCTCTCTCTCTCTCTCTTCTCATCTGTTTTCTGTTTTCTCTCTCTCTCCTTTTCTGTTTTCTCTCTCTCTCTCTCTCTTTTTCTGCTTTTTTTCTCTCTCTCTCCTTTTCTCTTTTCTTTCTCTCTCTCTCTCTCTCTCTCTTTCTCTCTTCTGTTTTCTGTTCTCTCTCTCTCTCTCTCTCTATTCTGTTTTTTCTCTCTCTCTCTTCTGTTTTCTGTTTTTTCTCTCTCTCTCTCTCTCTCTCTTCTGTTTTCTGTTTTCTCTCTCTCTTCTGTTTTCTCTCTCTCTCTCTCTCTCTCTCCTTTTGTTTTTTGTTTTCAACCATTAGCAATGTTGTCACACACCCTGTTTATCCTCGTTTGTTTTCTATC